TTCCGCCAAGAGTACTTCCGCCAAGAGTACTTCCGCCAAGAGTACTTCCGCCAAGAGTACTTCCGCCAAGAGTACTTCCGCCAAGAAGCCTCAGCAAGAGCCAGGTGGAATTCTAGAAGAGGCTGAGGAGGAGGGCAGCCTGCCAGCTATGGGAAGTTATGCCCTGCCCACACAGGAGATAAAAGGCCGGTAAGGACCCCTTGACCATGGAGCCAGTCTGGCCCATAAACTATTCAGAGTGTCTTTGGTCCTGAGTCACGTCTTTGGCTCAAGTGACAAGTGTCCACCTCTGCTCAAAAGCAGAAAGTAGGGACCCAGGCCCCGAGGGGACACATGCTGAGACAGGAGAAAAGACCTTGTCACCATATCCAAGAGTCACTGGAGGGGTCCCCTGAGATTCATTCAGAGTGTCGTCCCTGCCCCCTGCTCTGCCCAGGTGCCCTGAATCACTGGCTCCCTGCTGAGAGTGATTGATCCTCAGTGTCCACACGCACTCCAGTATTTATTTATTTTTTCTGATTTGTCTTTTTCTTCTTTTTTATTAGTTTTACATACCAATCACAGATCCCCTCTCCTGCCTCCTCACACTCCAGTCTTGATGTGTGAGCTGAGCTGACCATCCTCTTTTTATTTATTTTTGAGAGATGGTTTCTCTGTGTAGCTCTGGCTGTCCTCGAACTCACAGAGATCCACCTGCCTCTGCCTCCCAAGTGCTGGGATTAAAGGTGTGCACCACCACAGTCTGCCTTCTCTCTGAGTTTCTAGAGGGAAGAAGAAATGTGGGAGGAGAGATGGGGCCCCTGCCCTACGGAAGGTGCGCACTCTGTATAAAAGGGCTTCGAGAACCATATTCAGGACAAAGACTTAGAATAAAGTCCCTGGACTTTTCAAGGGATTTTAAGACTAGGAGGAAGTTTTATCGAGAGTATAAAATCTATCGTGTGTTACCCCATTGCTCAAAAACAGTGACTTATTGGGGTCCCTTTTGTCGGACCCCACTCCAGAGAAGCAGAACAAGGCCCCACCCTCAAGCATGCAGACCAATAAACAAGGACCAGCCAGGGTGAGCAAGGCTCTTGCAGAGGTCACAGGGGCTGGAGGGCAGAGGAAGAGGGGACAGTGTAGGTGGATTTCTTCAGCAAAAGAGACCACTAAGTTATCATTGTGAAGGCATGAGCACCTGGCACCATGCATATCCCGGAAAGGAGGAGAGGTCTGGGGACACAGCTCAGTTGTTGGAGCATTTGCCCAGCACTCCTGAATCCCCAGTTTGATCCCCTCAGTTACAATGCGAGTTTGAGGCCAGCTTGGGGACATATGAGACCCTGTTTCCAAAAAAAAAAAAAAAAAAAAAAAAGGAAAGGAGAGGGAGGAGGGAGGGGGAGGGAGGAGGAGGGAGGGAGAGGGAGGAATACAGACCCACATAGTACCCAAAAATCAACCACCTGCCTAGAACACCACTTGAACGCTGCACTCAGTTTCCACAAGGCAGACCCAGCCATTCGCTGCATTATCCCTACAGCAAGCTTCTAATTTCTTCAAAGAACCCCACAGCAGACAGTGGCTCCACCCATCAATGGTTGATGTGATTCTGGTCCCTTCCACTGAGCGGCCAGCACCTCCCAACCATCCCCTGTTCATCAGTTTCTCTTGATCACCAACCACACACCAAGGACCGTGCCAGAAGCCAGGGTACTTGCCAATGGTCCAGCCAGCCCTGATACCAACCCCCTCCTGCCCCCAGCAGCTTCACCCACCTCTGCCCCCCGTGATCCCAGCAGGACACACCTGGGTGGACACTAGGAGCTCCCCGAGAAGTCTACCATCAGCAAGATGAGGCTGTGCATGGCTTTCCTGCTGGTTCCTTCCCAGCCAAAGGCAGGGCATATGCATGGCTGGAATCCTGTTGGTGGCCCCCCGCCAACTGGCTGCCACTTGCTTATTTGGCTTGGAACAGGAAATACATTTTTCTGCTATTTACACTGCTGACCTCAGGAATAAACTCATTGCTGCCGCAGCCGCATTCCCACACTGCCCTGCTCACATCGGGGGTCTAGCCTAATTAATGACTCCCAGGCCCCCTAGCTTAACAAATAATCCCAGCACTCGGGAGGCAGAGGCAGGCAGATCTCTGTGAATTCAAGGCCAGCCTGGGCTACAGAGTGAGTTCCAGGCCAGTCAAGCTACATAGTGAGACCCCATCTCAAGAAAAACAAAGTGGATGGCCAGTCTAATGTCACCTACCTTACTGCACACTTTCAGAGACGCCACATGACACTCCCAGCTGACCACGGACACAGAAGTGACACATCACACCGAGACACATCCTTCCACGGTTCTACAAACCCACTGCCTTTTCTTCCTGAGTCCACAGTTGAACTACATTTCCCAGAGTTCTTTGGAATCTGCAGGTCCAAGCCCCTGAGTCCTGGCTAGTAGAGGGAGGGTTCAGGCCTGGCCTTGAATTCCCATGGAATACTGCATGCTTACTCTCCTTCCCTGTCTCTGGCTGAATGGAGAGAGTGTGGAGGACCCACATGATGTAAAGCCACACACGATGGCAGTAGCGTAGGTCCCCATGTCACTACCTATATGAACAGCTAAAGAAATCCACACTGTATCAAGACCTTGAGATCATAGCAGTGTTTCAATGGTTCATCTCCTCTGACTAAGCCAAGACTCTCGTGGGACTATGTGTTCATCTTCCCCCAGACTGTAAGATGTATGAGACTAGAAACTTCTCTCTGTCACACAGCACTGCGTCACCCGAACTTAGCATTATGTCCTGAATGCACTAGGACCTGAGTAAATGCTCCTTGGTTGGATGAATAAATGAATGAGTACAACCTTAACATGTGGCACGTGTTTCTCTCATCACTGTGGAGACACCTCAGCTCCCCACAGTCGGACAAGCCAGGCCCAAGGTAGTGGACAGACGAGCAGAAGGCCCACTCCCAAATGAGGAAGGGACTGAGGGGGGGTGTCCATCAAACACAGGCTGTAGCAGCGTGGGAGGAGGGACATAGGCTGGGACAGAGCGAGCCCCAGGCTGGGAGACTGGAGTCCTTGGCTCTGGGACCAGTTGTCCCTCTGAGTTAAAGCATGACTTTGGTAAGAAATGTCCTCTCTCCCTCTGAGCCTCAGTTTCCCCTTCAGCAAAAAAGACAATGGTTTTGAATGTTTTGTAGCAGCCGGCTCCAGCCCCATGCTGATCACTGTTCATGATGCCGTGACAAAAAGGCCTGGCAGACACGCCCTGAATCCAGAAGGGTGTGCTCTGTGCCAACTTTCAGAGGGTCTGTCTTATCCTGTTGGGGTGGTACAGGGGCCAGGAAGCAGAGGCCGGGCAGATGCCCACCCCCCACACCTTTCATTCCCTCTGGTCCCCAGGCCATGGGACGGTTGCCACCCACAGCCTGAGCAAGTCTTTCCCGCTCAGTTAATCCTCTGGAACGACTCTCAGAGACACACCCAGAGGCAGCCTCCCATCTCCTAGGTGATTCTGAATCTGGTCAAGTTGATGATGACGATGACAAGCCCCAAAATAGTCTTGTGAGCCTCAAAACACAAAGCAGATAGGAACAGAGGGAGTGGAGGGCTCTCACCGAAGCTGGGGGAAGGCGTCAGGGCTGACCCCAGGCCATTTCCTCAGTCAACTTCCCAGATCCTTATACTCCAACCTAGCACCCAGCCAACTTCCCCAACTTTTGGCCTACCAAGAAACTTCTGGAAAATCCTACCAAGCCTCCAGCGTCCGTTTGCACACCTGCAGTGATAGAGCTCTGCCAGGTCTGGAAAGCCCCCAGGGGAACCCCAGGTTGACTGACCCACCGGCACATGCACCCTGCACAGGGTCTCCTGAGTCTGTGCCACACAGCCTCTGTGCCTGCAGCTGGAGAAGAGACCAGAAAACCTGGCATCCAGAATAGAAGATGGCTGCACCCAGGTGCCAAGCAGGTGTGTCCCTTCAAGCTTCACAGATAGAATGTGTGTGACCCGGTAAGCAGAGCTGTTACTACTACAGACATCTTAACACCGAAGCATAAAGAGTCTCTGTCGCTTGCTCAACATCATATCGCTGGCAAATTGCAAGTCAGGACTCAAATCCACCTGATCATATGCTTTCAACTGATTCTCTGATGTGGAAATTTGGCTGAAACTAAAAGCAAGTCCTGCTGAGGATGTAGCCTAGTGGATAGAGTGCTCACCTAGCAAGCACAAGGCCTGGGGTCTATCCCGGGCACTGCATAAACCCACCCTGGTGGCACATGCCAATAATACAAAATGGAGGCAGGAGGATCAGAAATTCAAGGTCATCCTTAGCTTAATATCAAGTTCAAGGCCAACCTGGGCTACATGAGACCCTGTCTATAGGTATCTAGATAGATGTATGTATGTATGTATGGATGGATGAATCAGGAGACCATAGTGTTGGGTAGTATTAATAAAAATAACATAATTAGGGAGCTGGAGAGATCGCTCTGCAGCTAAGAGCACATACAGCTTTTACACTGGAGAGGACCCAAGTTCAGCTCCCAGGACTCTTGGCAGGCAGACCATGACAACTTGTAACTCCAGTTCCAAGGGATCAAACACCATCTTCTGGACTCCGATAGCATCTGCGCTCATATGTACCTACCCAAACATAGACACACACACCATACATGTAATTTAAAAATAATGAAAATAAGTCAGGCATGGTGGTGCATGCCTTTAATCCCAGCACTTGGGAGGCAGAGGCAGGTGGATCTCTGTGAGTTTGAGGCCAGCCTGGTCTACAAAGCAAGTTCCAGGACAATGAGAGCTATTAGACAGAGAAACCCTATCTTGAAAAACCAAAAATCAATAGCAATGATGATGATGATGAAAATAAATCTTTTTAAAAATAGCATAATAATCAAGCCAAGCGGTGGTGGTGCATGCCTTTAATCCCAGCACTCGGGAGGCAGAGACAGGCAGATCTCTGTGAGTTCGAGGCCAGCCTGGTCTACAGAGCGAGATCCAGGACAGGCACCAAAAACAACATGGAGAAACCCTGTCTAGAAAAAAAACAACAACAAAAAACAAACAAACAACAACAAAAAAACCATAATAACCAGGAGCAGTGGCTCATTACTTTAATCCTAGCACTTAGGAGGCAGAGGCAATTGGATTTCTGTGAGTTAGAGGCCAGGCTGGTCTATACAAGGAGTTCCAGGCCAGCCAGGAATACATAGTCAGACACTTCAAAAAAATAATAAAATGACATAATAATGACAATCATATCATTAGTGATCTTTGATCCCATGTGTTGGGGTTCAGACATGAGCCCAAACAGTCCAGCTCTAGAGCCCGTGTATGACATGTGGCATTTCTCCTCCATTTTTTTAAGACTTATTTTATTTTACTTTTATGTGTGTTATTGTTTTTCCTGTGTATGTGCACAGCTGTGCAAATGTGTGCATGCAGTTGCCAGCAGAGGCCAGAAGAGGGCATCAGATCCCCTTGGAATTGGAGTTATAGCCAGTTATGAGCTGCCATGTGGGTGCTGGGAAAGGAACCTAGGTCCTCCACAAGAGCAGCAGCGCTCTTAACCACTGAGCCACCTCTCCAGCCCCTCTCCTCCCTCCACTCTGATATACACAGACCATGTGCCACAGTCCAGCATATATGTGTCCCAATATTCACTGATCACTTCTCAAATCCATAATGAGCAAAAAGAATTCCATAAAATCAAATAGCCATTCATGTACAAAGCAAAGATCTCAGTGATTCCGAGTCAGAGGGATCCATCCTCAGCTCACTGGGCTTGTACCAGCATCACACTGCATGGTAGAAACCAGTGGCTTTCTCTTAAGACTAAAACAAAGCAAAACCATTCCTTCCAGGGGCAGGGGGCATTGTTGGTTTGTGATTGGGTCTCCTTATACAGCTCAGGCTAGCCTGGGACTCAAGATCCTCCTGCATGTGCGCACGCATGCACACACTTTATATTTATATAAAAAGTTTTTAATTAAAAACAAAACTACACCAATCAAGGCAGCATGGTATTAGAGTGAGAACAAACAGATCCATTGAGCAAGAGCAAATGTCTCAACACTTAATCCACACAAGCACTATTAGCTGCTTTTTGACAAAGGATCAGAGGCCACTAACAGAGGAGGGGTAGCTTTCTGCAATAGTGCTGGGAATGACTGGACACCCACGTTATAAAAGGAAGAAATGAATCTGCACATAGCCTTATGTTGTCTTTTACAAACATTAGCTCATGAAACTAAATGCAAAACACAAAACTGTAAAATGGTGATGTCAGAGAAAAATCTAAATTATCTAGGACTCAGTGATAAGTTTTTAGACACAGCATATTGAAATCTTTTAATGAGGAACTTACAATCCATCATTAAAATTGAACTCTGCTAGCCAGGGGTGGCTGTGCATGCCTGCAATCCTAACACCTGCGAGGCAGAGGCAGGAGGAACAGAAGACCAGAGTCGTCTTTGGCCACGTACTGAGCTTATGCTTAGTCTGGGCAACATGAGGCCCTGTCTTTAAAAGCCAATAATAATAATTGTTTAACACTTTGGTTTTGTGTGACAGGGTTAAAGAGAATGGAATGGAAAACCAAGTGTGGTGGTGTATGCCTGTAATCTCAGCACTCGGAAGCCACAGGCAGGAGGATTGTCCAGAGTTCAAGACCAGCCTGACCTATAGAGCCAGATCATGGCTCAAAAGGAGGAAGAGACAGAGAGAGATGGGGATGTGTGTGAGAGAGAGAGATGGGGGGTACAGGAGGAACAGAAAAAGATGGGGTGGTTGCAGTGGGGTGGGGGATTCACAGACATACATGGTAAATAAGCATAAAGATGCTCTGTCTCACTGAGTCCTTAGACTCTTAGAGCAGCTGAAATCTGAAGGTTTGATATCGGTGAGTGCTGATGAGGGTACAGAGCAGCCTGATTCAGCACAGGATGGCAGAGAGCTTGGAAGACAGCTGCACAGATTCATGCAAAGGAAAACCTAGTTTACCATCAGGTCTGGTCATCACACTTCTCTGTATTTATGCAGATGAGCTGAAAAAATGTGTCCCAAGGAAAATGTGTATGAACAGTCACAGTGTCCTCACTGCTCAGCACTTCCCCAGACTGGAAACAGACAAGACACCTCTTCAAAGGCAACTAGGTGAACAGCAGTCCAGTCACACAATGAAATACCACTCAGCAATAAAAAGATGTAGACACTCCAAAGCCATGGAGAGTCACAAGTGCACATCGCTAAGTAAAAGAAGCCAGCTAGATCCATTGCCCAAAATGTTCCTCTACCTTCCCAAACAGCATCACCAGCAGAGGAACAAATGCTAAATATATTAGCCTGGGGGGGGGACATTTTACATTCACACCATAACATTCTGCTGGTCCCCATGGACTCATCATGTCCATCTCATCACACAAGATGCATTTATCCTACTTCAAAAGCCCAAATGGGTCTTCTGGTTCCAACACAGTTCCAAAGTCCAAAGTCTTTTCTGAGCTCAAACTCTTAGCTATAAGCATCTATAAAAGAAAAAAAAAAGGTTACACTTATCCAGTATACAGTAACACACATTCAGTTACACATTGGGTTTCCCCACTTCAAAAGTAAGGGATGGTGATACAGAAAGGAAAAATCAGATAAAAACAGAGCCAAAACCTATAGGAGGGGAAAACACCAAACCACAGACCTACATGTCTAGCATCCAGGGCTCACTCACAGTGGCATCATCTGGGCTCCAATGGGCTTGACTCATCCCGCTGCCCTCCAGTCCTCTGCTTTCCGCAAATGTGCCCTCTCCCTGAGCTGTCTCCCCTCATGGCTTACAGCTTTCCTCAGCAGACAT